TCGTTAGAAGACAGAATTGCGATTCATATATGAATAGATTTTTACGTGCACCACTAGTTTTCTCTTCCTCTTCTCTAAAGCAGCAACATGGCCTTGCCCCCTTCATTGCGTGTTCCCGGAGGCGGGGTTTATCAGGGTTTGTGACATCACAATCCCAGGAAGTAACTCGTTGTAGTCCCTACGAGCCGTTTTTGTAGGCATTAATCTGTCATAATTTTAAAAGATGGTATCTCCGTTTGCATTGAACTTTCAGCTTCATAACTTTGCAGATATTGTTTATGCTCAAACAGCAACATTACACACTAACTAACGTTAAAAAAGTGAAATCGCAATCAACCACCCCTTTAAATGCATGCAATAAAGTCAAGACCAATCAAATTTCAATAAGATAACACGTGTAAGAAATAAGACCAATCACAATTCAGTATACAAAACATAATGTTGGCTTCATTGTGAATGCTGCAGCACATTCTATCAATGTACATCATTGGGAGATTTTCAAACTTTAATGTTAAATTTCTCAGCTAAAACGGAAATTATCTACAAAACATTTTAATGGCATTAATTGCAGAAATTTTATATTTCATAAAAACGAACCAGAATATTTGAGGAGCATCAATACAATGTTGCCTTGCAAGACCTGTAATAAACCAGGTGCACAAATGGATGGAAAGAACCTGGCCACAGTAATCCGAGTCTTCAGACTGCTTTACACTGGCTCCTAATGGACCCTTAAGCTCTGAAAAGCTACATTACTTACCAAAATGGCTCAACCTGACTAACTATAGGCTTAAGAAATGCAGAGAAAATGTTTAAATATTTAAATTGAAGGGTATGTATGAAACAGATCAAATTTTTTAATATTCTACACAAGATTAAATATTAAATACTTTAAAAGTCTGTGACACTTTCCTGCAAGCTTTAATAAATCTCAACCACAATGTTCATGCTCAGGAACATCTAGAATAGGAGAATCCACTTTTTAAAAAAATTTGGCTTTTCAATTAAATCACTTTACATCTTAAAATATTTACTTACTACAGCTGGGGAAGTCTGTGCTGCTGAGGTGGGTTGTCGAGAACTTGGACCAGTCTGGCCTGGTTTAGCTTGCAGTTGCTGGGCTTGTACTAACTGTGGTTGTGTTGTGCCTGTGGCAGATGTCTGAGAGCCTGGCCTGGCAGCTGATATCTGTGCCTGCTGCTGAAGCTGTGTTCGCTGACCTTGCTGCCCATCAACAGGTGGCTGAGAGACAGCTTGCCTGCTTGAGCTTGAAGGTCCACTTGGACCCTTCTGTCCAGGCCCAAGAGATCCTGGCTGTCTGGATGATGAGGGGTGGTCCTGTTGCTTCCTGCTGGAGGACCCTTGATGGTGGGAGGATTGTTTTCCAGAACGGGAGCTATGGTGGTGGCCTGAGGTGTCACGGGAATAATCTGATGAGTGGTAGCCCTGAGAACGAGATTCTCCCCTCCTCCCTGAAGATGACAAGGAGCGGGAGTCATGTCGCATAGATGGATCCTTTGAGGAACGTGATGATCGAGAGGAACGAGGCTCATCTGAGTGGCGTGAGGAGTGCCTACCGGAACTTCCACTGCTGTGATGGCGGTGCTCTCTAGAGGAAATCTGGCTGGTGTGACCATAATCATCTTGTGGCCAAAGATCTTCTGGTGGCTCATCATAATCATGGTATGTGTGCTTGACATGGCCTCGCCTCCCAGAATGACCACTGCTGCCATAGTGACGGGAACCACGAACATCACGAGGCTTCTCAAACCAGTCTGTCTCCTCTTGACCAAGATGGTATGCTTTGGAAACCAAAAGCAGATCACAATCAATCTCCATGTCTGATGGCGAAAGAGGATTGCACACTGAGACCATGCAAAAGAAAAAGAAGAACAAAAATAGACAAACTTAAAGAAAAAACATGCAATGCATTCAAACTCAATATCCAGCATATAAAAATGACCTCAAATAAGATTTTTTTTTTTTCATTAAAGGTTTGGAAGTCAAAACTATTCAATATCATACAACTCAGTACACACAAATGAAGCACCTTTGGGGGGGGGGGGACACCAAAAAAACAAGAGTGGGTAAAAAAATAAAGAGACCACACAACAACTCATGCAGTTTTTGGAACTGAGTACAACGTTGAGGGTCAGATTTATTGAAAGCTGCATATTGCCTGAAGACAAAACATGGGCATGCACTTGGTTTTCATTTCTTTACTTCAGCTATTCACTCTCTTTCTCTGGGTGGGTGGGGGATGTTTTAAGTGGGCAGTAACGCTGGCATTCAGCTCCCAATTACCTTCGCTGTCAGAAACAGCACAATGCATATCGTCAATTATATACATATCATCTGGTTTGTAGACATGGGTCCGGGGCAGGTCTCGAATATGGTCCTGCACATCAGGTAGAGAGTGACTTGAACCATATGAATTTGATGGATAGCCGAAAGCCCTCCCAACACTCATGAGCTTTGTCATGAGGTGGGAGTTCTCCTTTTCTGAATTTTGAGAATGCAAAGCAGGGCGCACACTGTGGCCATAGTTGCTGTGGTATGACCGGTCTATACGGTCCCGTTCATATGACCTGCTTCTGTAGGCCCTCTCGCAGGGAGAGATTTTGTCCATTCCATAACCAGCTGAACGGGACCTGCCGTAGCCATAGAGATGTTCATCATTATAGTAGCCCCGTTGTGGACTGTAAGTACTCCGTAGCCCATAGATGCCATCCTGAAGTTTATCGTAATGGGAACCTGAGTCATAACCACTGGTTGTAGAGGTGCTCATGGTGTAAGAGGCCAGATCAGCCTCCACATCATGAGCCTCCTCAATTGGGGAAAACTTGGATATCTTCTGCTCAATGCCTTGTTTACGATGTTTGCTCCTCCTGGAGGACATGACGGCTGAAGGGCACTGGTTCTTTGAGGAGTGCCTCTGGGCTGCCCATGTAGGTGTTGAGTGACTGCAGTCATCATAGTAATATGATGATCCCCCACCCATGCTACTACTTCCCACTACCCGGCCATGCGTATGTGCCCCTTGTGCTTGGTAGTTGCAGGTGCTCTTACCCCTGCCATGATGCTGGTCGTACAGATCTGCATCACGTTCATCCTCTGGTCTGCCAAAGGTGCTCCCCCCTCGAGTGTGAAGTCCGTCACTCCCATATAGTCCATGACCCTCATTGCGATGTGAGTCTAAACTAGTGCCCATGCCTTCCTTGGTGAGTTCACATATGTCATCAATCATGACATAGTTCCTTGGGACATTCTGCTCGAGGCTGGATGATCCGTATAGGCCTTCACTGGTGTACATAGAGGGGCTCTCCATTGAGTGTGTATGGTCAGATAGTGTTGTCTGCCCATATGTATTTGTAACAATGGTATTATATTGCCCATAGGAACTAGCTGTAGTTACTGTATATCCATAAGTATTTGCAATAGTTGTTGTGTACTGCCCATAACTACTGGATGAGTTTGTTGTGTATGGCCCATAACCCGAGGCTGCAGAGGTTGTTAAAGACCCACCATATGTATTTGATACAGATGAGGAGTAGGGGCCATAAGTGCTTGCCATAGTTGTACTGTATTGGCCATAAGATGGACCCAAACCAGACTGGCTGTAAGTGATATCTTGGGCAGTGGTTGTTACTACAACTGTAGGATTGCTTATAACCTCATAATTTATGGGCATCTTGTGTTCAAGGTCAGCAAGCGATGTCTGTCGTGGCTTTTGGTGAAAAGTGAGAGTGTCTGTCTGTGGCTGATAAGTGTTCGCTTGACTGACCGGATAGGGGGGTGCCTGGCTTGGGTATGGTGTACTGTGGGTTGGATAAGGGACTGGACCAGTAGGTGGTAGGGTAGGCTGAAACCCTGGTTGGCTTGGCTGTGCTGGAGGTGGCACTGAAGTGTCTGCTGGATATGGAGGCTGGTTCTGTGGGAAGGCTTGGGAAGGAAATGGCCCTTGGACATGATAAGATAGGGTTGGATAAGTCTGCAAGGGGGTGGGTTGGGGGAGAGCTTGAGCTTGGGTTACTGATGGATAGGGAGGTTGGTTGAAACCTGTGCTCTGCAGTGTAGAGGCCTGTGGGGTAGGTGCCGTTTGGAGACTTTGGGGGTACTGGTACGACACAAAAGATGATGTGGGGGGAAACTGGGCAGCAGTATTTAGCTCACAGGTAAACTGGCTGAGTGGTGCCGTGCTAGGTCTTGTCATTAGCCCATTGCTGTCAAAGGATGTGGCCCCAGCTGTCAGGCGAAGATTGTTGAGTTCAGAGTCTGACATATAATCTCGCGAATCACCCATGCAGCGCAGGTATGCTAGCTCCCTCCTGTCTCTTTCCTTTGCCAATGTTTCTTTTCGCTGTGTGATGCCCAACTCCAGGTATCTAAGCTTGGCATCAATTTCCTTTTCTTCCTCCTCCAACTCAGCCTGCTGCTTACGTAGCTTTGTAGATTCCTGTTCAACAGCCTTCAGCTCATGGGTCAAGTCCTTAAGTAGACTAGCCTTTGCAGCTAAACGAGAACCCCCTTTCAGAGAGGGCAGAGAGGGCACAAGCATGTGGGATAGGTTAGGGGTGACCATAGGCAGATGAGTCTCCTCTGGTGGGGGGCTGGGCAAGGTCCTCTTCACCTTCCTTAGCAGGGAGCTCTGCTGCAGGGCTGCCAGCTGCAATGACACAGGGTCCAGGAAGAGTGAAAGAGCCAGGACCATGAAATACAGAGGACAATACAATGTTATATATTAGAGTTTCACACTTAACTACTAGCATTGCTCAGACTACTGGTTTATTGTTATAGAAAACTGTAAGGGCATGCATCTATAAAGATTATTATCTAAATCGATGTGATTCTGACCAAGTATATTATCTTGCCTTGATGGCCATATATACGACAAGTCAATACAATTTCTCTCAAAACAAGAGGAAACCGTCTGTGACACAAGCAGACAAACAGTAATTTATTCATCACAAGACATGTGAAAACATTAGAATGTACTTTCTAAATACTGTACAACATCAAAACAATCAACACCAATTTTACTAGAAAATTTACAAGAAAAAAGTAGAGTCCAAGGGATATAAAAACTGGCCATTTCTTAGCATCTCAGGCTTGCAAACACAGACAGAATACTTCATATCACATTGCAACCTTATAGTCAAGAAATAATTCAACTGTCTGTATATGCAATATATAAACTATGGAAACAGTCATACTGTTCTAACAAGTTCATATTGTCCTTTGTAGTAAGCCAGTGCAAGTTTAAAATCAAAGAGATACTGAATTATCCATACCTGACTCTGAAGGACTTGCTGTTGATAAAGTGAAATCCTAGCCTTGGTATTTTCATCTGTAGTTGGGCTGAGAGGCTTAGGGTCTGACATAGATCTCTGAATATTCTTCATTGGGCGGGGAAGGGCCTGATGTCTCTGTGATGTCTCAGCAATACAGGACTTCTGCTGCGGGTTGACATGTGCTTTATTCAGCCTCTCACTAGAAGAGAATGATGTTTCTATGATGCGTTGTGGAGAAGAAAGAGGAGAAACAGGAGAATACAGCACCTGTGGAGATTTAGGTTGTTGCCGGATCAAGCTGGACAAAGACTCATTATGCAGGTGATGCTGCTGGTAGCCAAACTCCAAAGGATCAGGTCTCCGCCTCCCAAACTTCACAGCACTCTGTTGACCTGGAGAGAGTGGATCTGCAGAACCAACTAACTGGACACTTGTGGGACTGACAGTGGTAGCAATGCTAATCTGTGGAATAACTATGCTTTGAGACTGTGTCTCGGGGTCAGTTTGGCAAGCTAAGCTTTGACCATTCTGTGTTCTCTCAGGACCAGAAATATAGTGGACAATTTCAACCTTGCTGGGGTCTGGCATGGTGACATGTATGCTTGGAGATACTCTAACCAGCTGCTCTGTCTCAGTTTGGCAAGAACAGTCTCGAATTGTCTGGATGGCAATGCTGGAAGATGCTGTCTTAGCAGCTGAAGTGGTAAAAGGAGGTGCTTCAGATTTATGGTCTACACCAGATTCACCAGAATGTCTTGTGTAACGGGAACGTCTACGTCTAACTGGCTGCTCCCACTCTGCCTTGTCTTCATCATCATCTGTCTGAACACTGCAGTCCACACTGCGCCTAGTCCGTCGTCTTCTTGATACCAGGTACCTCTCCTCTCCATCTTCATCATCAGTTTGCACACTGCAGTCTACAAGCCTTTGGGGCAAGGAAAACATTGCCACTTCTCCATCATTTCCATCTTGCAGTCGAGGCATTGATCTTTGTTTACGCATGGACCTGATTTCTGTCTGATTTTCACTATTTCTCAAGCATATCTCTGATGTAGAATTTGGTAGTGGTCTTAAATAAACCTGAACATCACTATACAACATATCAGTGGCCAATTCCTGTGGCTGAAATATTCTGCCAGATTGATCACTGAGGATTTGAGTATTTGCACTGGCTGCAGCAATAGGTGTGGCAGTCTTTTGTCTCTTTTGTTCTTCAAGCTGCTGCTGTAACTGTTGTTGCAAAGATTGTATCTGCTCAAGCTGCTGTTTTTGTTGAGCTAATTGCTCTCTCTGTAGGACCAACTGGCTTTCTCTCTCAGCTTGTTGTTGCTGCAAAACTTGATGCTTTATAGTCTGCAATTCCTGAATTTCTCGCTGCACTAGCATCTGCTCTTTTTCTCTATTCCTCTGCAGTTCTGCACGCTCCCGCTCAAGCTCCTCCTGAAGCCTTAGCTGTCGCAATTTTTCCAGTTCTACTCTTTCTCTCTCAAGCTGCAAAAGCTCTTCCTGCTGTTGATGCAGTCTTTCCTCTGTTCCTTTTTCTTGGTTTGGAGCAATACTTCTGATAGCAGCAGCAGTGGTTCTACCTCCTTGAGATGATGGGGGTGGCTGTGTTTTGGAAGCAATAGGATGACCTTGCACTGGTAGTTGGTGTTGTATAGGAGGCTGGGCAGTGGACTTGGCCTGAAGGTGGGGCTGAGATAGATTTATTGGTTGCAACTGGATATAAGGTTGGCTCATTGCCATGGCCATTGGTGTTGAAATAGGTGCTGATGTGATAGGACCAGCAGGTACAGAAGAAGGCTGAATTGGTTGTGTTACTGTTCCAGCTACTGTTAGGCTTACTGGAGACTTACCAAGGTACAATGGGGCATCTTGAACTGTTGTGATAGCTAGAGACTCAGAAACTTTTGTAGATGTTGTAACAGGGAGAGGATTAGGTGTAGAACATTGGAAAGGTGCCTGCCCAGTCCTTCGATCTAGTGGCAGTCTAGTTAGGCTTGCCAGGGGTATTGGTGTCATATTTGGTGTAGGATAAGGTCTATATACCCCGCTTAATAAAGGCCGTAGCACAGGTGCAGGTTGGGTAGTTATTGGAACTGTTGATGCAATTGGTGTGTTTATAGTTGAATAGATCATGCCGTCAGCTGATCTAATAGCTGATGGATACATAGCTCGAAGACTGGCTTGTCTTGCATTGATTAGATCAGTTAGCGCTTGACTGTGGGAAAGAGGCTTTCCATCTGGGCTGTACTTGAAACCAGGTCTGTGACTTTGGGGCAGACTAATTCTACTAGGTGGACCACTACTTCTTCCGGTGCCCAGCTGTAGTATGTCAGGGTTACTACTATATCTATCTATGGAGTTAAGGGCTGCACACATGCGACTTATCTCTCTGGCAGTTGTAGCACTGTATTGGGCAAGATTAGATTCTGCAAAATCACCTGAGAAATATCCATAATCTGAGCTGATGTTGGTCAGGGAGCTGTACCTTCTAATTGGAAGATCTGCAACATCACCCTGACGAAGATCTGTGTAGGAGCCATACTGAAGCCCGATTCCAAGGTACCCTCCATCATAGCCATCCTTTACTGTGTCTGTGAATAATTCCCCAGAGGCATGAAATTGGGGATCAAGCTTCGCTGAATATGATGACAACCCTGTCTCTGCAAGGTTTGTTTCAGACATTGATGGTTGTAGTCGTCCAGGGAGAGGCAATGTGTATGATTTAATTGTGTAATCTTGGTATGTCTGCCCATCTTGCCGTAAACCATGTTGTTGATAGAGCTGTGGTAGTGAGGAAGGTGCTCTTGATGATGGCTTAGAAGTCTCATCTGTGACTGGTTTCTGGGAGAATGGACCACCCACACAGCTGCCGCCAAATGGCAAGTTATATACCATATCACAACAAGTTACTTGATTTTCTGATTTTATTTGCCCTGTTAAATTCATTGCATCCTGGCCTTCCTCTGGTTTGATTAGTTGTGTTATAGTGGCTCCTTGTGCAGTGCCATCTATCTGGACCATCATCCCATGAGGCTTGACATTTGTTAGATTAATGATACTTGTCTCTGCTTGCTTTCCCCTTAACTCAAGTGGACCTCCAACACTATAAACCTCAGATGTCATACCCGGCGAGATGACATTGACCTCAGTGGCAGTGCTTTTTTGAGTGACAAGCATATCCTTTTTGAATAGAGGTAGTTGGCTAGACAAGTTCAACTTTGCAAAAGAGGCAGCTTGTTGTTGTTGAAGCTGATGATGTTGTTGAAGCTGCTGCTCAAGAAGTTGTTGTTGATCTTGAAGCTTCTGCTGCTGTTTAAGTAACTGCTGCTGCTGGATACTCAGGTCTTCCAGCTTAGCATCGATCTTTGGTATGGATGGATCAACTGGTGGTGGCTTATTTGGTGCCAGGCAAACTACTGTTCCCATATCTTTGCCCAAATCAAATCTGTTTTCAAGAGGATCACAATACAGCACAGGGTGCTTAGGCTGGGAAATGAACATAGATGCAGCTACAGTAACACTGACAGTTGTTGCTGTTGATGTCACAACATGCAGCTGCTCCTGCGTATTCAGGTTCATTATTAAGGGCTGAATAGTTGTGGATTGACGAATGGGGCTTCCTTCAACAGACCCAGAATATTTTCGAGATTCTGTGGCTAAGGAAGTCAAGTCCATTCCTTGGTCAGTCATAATAATTGGTGTTGGCTTTATTCCAGTTCGTAGATCTACTACACTTCCACTCTGTAACCTTTGTCCTTGCTCAATTCTTGAAGTACCAGGAACTGTCGAAATCCGACAAAGTGATATGTTTTCCATTGACAGTGATCCACGTGTATACATGCTAGCAGTGGTGACAATGCTAGTTCCGACATTAATTTTTTCAGCTCCATAGTTTTTGTAGAAACCATGTTGGGGTGATAATTGATGTGGTGGAGTATCAGGAGGGCTGACAGGAGGTGAGTAGGCATCAAATGTTGATTGGCGGCTAAATCTTGTTGGTGAAGACAGAGGAGATGTTGCTGTGTTAACTGTAACTGACTTTGGTGGACTAGTGGGCTCAAGCTCCTCTGTTCTAACAATAAAATAGGTATCTTGAGAAGACTGCTGTCTGAAAAGGCTGGGTGAAACAGCCCCATGTGAAGTCTGAGTACCCTGTGCCATAACCAAAGTGGTGTGAGAAGCATTCCCTGAAGAAGCTAACATTGAAGGGCTAAACGTTTGAGTTGAAAGGTCAGCTGTTCTCCTAGACAGAGATCTTGTTGGACTATGAAGAGGAGATGAAGTGGGAGAAAGAGGTGGACTCCTTTCATGGTAAGTATAACACCTAACTGAACTTGGGCCAGATTCAATTATAGTTTCTGATGATGTTGAATTATCCCTCATTTGGACTCCTTTGCTGATTGCCATTTTCCTTGCAGCACTTTCTCTTTGGTTGTAAGCTTGAGTGATTGCAGCTATTTTATGAGACACATTTGAAACACCAGCGGTGGTTGTGGTAGTTTGCCAATCTTTTAAGTTGGGTTGTGTGGTGGACACTGTTTGACTGGCACTAGTATGAGAGACAGTGACAGTATCCCTGGCATACACTCCATAAGCAGCAATAGTTGTGGCAGCAACTGTTGGTGTAATACCATTTTTACCAGTTTGATTTCTAAGTCTATCTTTGGACCCATCTTTTGAAAAATGTTGTGTTACTCTGACATCAGGTATCCGTCCTCCTGTCCCAGTTTCAGCAAATGATACTGGTGCTGAGAGCTGGGTGGGACTTGTGCCAGGAGTCAGTAAAGCGTTGCTTTGTTCCAGTAACTTAGCAAAGGCTGAGCCTGTATCTAATAACTGCTTTTCTGAATAGGACACATCCATCTCCATTTGGTCATCAAGCTGTTTTGAAATGTTTTGTGAGGTCTGTCGGATCTCTTCATTGATATCTACTGTCTCCTCATTCTCATAGTGGAGATCATCTTGATCAGGATAATCATATTCATCCTCAATATCTTGTCTATTTCTAATGTCTGACTCTTGATAGGTGGTTGTGCTGTACTGTTGTAAAATCAGACCTGAGCCTGATTGCTGCTGTGTCTGCTGCTTTTGTTGTTTCTGCAACATCTCTGCTTTCCTCATCATTTCTTCATATACTTCTTCTGCACTTTTTAATTGTTTGCCACTAGAGGAAGTTGTTATAGCAGCTGTAGATGATGTAGTTTGTGGTTTTTCAGTAGGAGAATAAAGTGACATATAGGTTGGTAGGTTATACTCACTACCAGATTTGTACAGCTTTGATGAAATTTCATAGCCCTCAGCATCTGAGTCAGCTGAAGGAGAGTATTCTGAGCAAGAGGACCGGTGGAGTTCCTCCATCTCGGCTGCCTGTCTTAGCTCCTCTGTTGGCGAAGCATCCTCAATGGGGGATAGATTGCTTGGGGGAGTCTTGGATCGTTCTCTGCGCCTTTGTGCTCTTAGCTCTTCTTTGTCACGTTTCGTTTTCCGGACAGTGCTTCGTATTCTCTGCTGCTCCACTTCTCTCATCTTTTCCTGCTCCCTTAGAAGTTCTTCTTCTTCCCTCAATTCGTCTTCTTCTGAGGAATCCTCAATGGTAGGAAGGAGAGGGCCATGGGAGCGATGTCTGGCCTTCCTCTGCTGCTTTGCCTCCTCCAGCTGCTGCCTTCGACTAGGACTACTGTCACTGTCATCTTCCATGGATGATATGGAAGTAGGGGATATCCCTGAGGTATAGCTAGAGGTGGTTGGTGGGAGGGTGGAGGAATATTCCCCTCTTGACTGTTCTTCTGGAGAACCAGTGAGGCTTTCCATCTCCAGCTCAGGCTCTCGGTCGAGACTCAGGTCATTGTCATTGTTTAACTCCATGTCTCGACTATAACTGTTAGTGTTGTTCAATTCTATGGTCTTAAATCTGCGTAAGCCTCCTTGCGAGGCCATGAGGTCCTCTTCAGCTGATCCTTTGTATACATCACTAGTTGTTTTACTATCCTCCTCAAAGCTACTAGAGTGATAAGTTAGACGGCGCTTTTCTTTTCCTGAGTCACTGATGTGCTTTTGAGTCTTTTTTAGCTTTTTGTAGCCATAGCCTTCATCCTCATCATCATCCTCTTCTTCCATTTCCTCTTCTTCATCTTCATCCTCATTCTCCTCATCAGCACTCATCTCCATAATTTGCCTTCTCATAAACTCCTCATCGGTAATCTCTTCAGGTTCTAAATTTCTTTTTTTATGGCTACTGTTATCCCCTAAAGCAGCAATTGCTCTAAGCTCTTCCTCAGCTGGATCTTCCTCCTCTTCCATAATGCCTTCAAAGTCCTCATCTGAGTCATATTCCTCTGGACTAATTGATATTGAGCGAGACTGATGTTTCCTGATGTCACCATGTTGCTGTTTTCCACGCTTCTTGTCCTGTGCTCTTTCCCCTTCAGATGAAAATTTAGACTCTAGAAGAGGTCGCATGGAGCTCTCCAGCTTAATCAGCTCAGATGGACTTGGTGGTGTATGGTGTCCAGTCAGACCTCTCTCGCTCATTTTTAGCTCTTCCTCCTGGATAAGGCCAGTAATTTCACTATGTGAACTGGAGATTCCATCCGAGGAATAGCCAGTATCACTCAAACTCTGTGGACTTCGTGATAGGTCATGATTGCTGTTTGTCTTGCTGGTTTCCTAGGAGACCAAAAAACACATAAATACAAATTTACAAATACAAATACACTTAGACAGTTCACACCATAAAATCAAGCACAAACAGCTGACTAGATTTTAAAAACTACACCTTCCTTGGGATGAGTGATACTCCATCAATTAGTGCACTGAGCCCTCTCTTTATTAATTAAAAAAAACATTCGCCTGGTTCATTGAAAATCTGATAATACAATGTAACAAGCATTGAAAAGATATGCATGTTCACTTTGGCCTCTTTGTGAAAGCTATTTTAATTTTTAAAATGTTTAAGATTAACAAATTTTCAAAAACATTTCTTACACTCCTTATTTACGTAAATTTATAATTTGCAAAGATGATGGGTAAATTACTATGACCCGATGGCTTACCTCATAGTATTTGGTAATACTCTGTAATTCTTTCTTTTCATCTTTAGAAGGCGTCTGTATTGACTCTGTTGTTCCTCTCTTTTGAGTTGGTTTATTGTCTCTATCACCAGGGTCAGGCCCTTTATCTAGTTTGGGTGCAGTTTCCTTCCTCTCTTCTTTACCAGCAAATGCAGCAGTGGTAGACACAGGAGGTTTTGTAGCTGTAACAGGCTGTGTAAAAGTTTTTATATCGCTTGCTGGTCTGGCTATGGGGGAAGAGAAATCACTCTGTTGAGAAACAGGAGGTTTCTGCTGTGATGACATTGTCTGAAGCCCTTGCTGCTGCTTGCTGGAAAGTTGTTGATGCCGAGGTGAACCCGCTGGTTGACGGCTGGGTGATGAAGAATGAATAAATTATTCAGTGAATGTTTTTTGATAACAGTTTCTTCCATATTGTGTTCTGTATTGTACATCCGAGTGTAACAGATTATCAAAAAAAAAAAAAAAAAAAAAAAAAAAAAAAACCATGGGGACCGTTTTCGCTTCTCCTGTGCTCTTGTGAATGTCATGGCCTTCCTTGGCTGAGACCACTCCGAGTGTAACAGATTATCAAAAAAAAAAAAAAAAAAGAAAGAAAGAAAACCATGGGGACTGCACTCAAAAATAAATGCAAGTTTGCAGTCAAGGCAGGCTTTAAGCAAACTAAATAACTGGAGAAGTCTGGCATACAGCATTAGAGACAAGACTTTACAAAGAAAGATTGAGTTATTCTGATTAAACACTATATATGGAGTATATACTGTATGGATGAATCGTTCACAAGGTCTATAACATACATTAACAAAATCAGGTGAATTTTCATTTCATGCAACTATAGAGAAGAAATATACAGTAAGAAAATATTCACTAAGAAGTTGCATGTCCTTACATATTTAAATTAAGTCATTCTTTTCTAAATTAATGTACCTCTTTTCTATTCAAATTAGGACTATCATGGTTATTCAATTAAATTCAAATAATAATTAAAAAAAAACATTTAGAAAAAGAAAAAGAAAAAAAAAAGAAACTGGCTTTGATTCAGCAATTGTCATCAAATTTGTGTGAACCGAGCCAGATTCAGTGTACCTTCTTAATGAGTTCACTGCAATGTCATTTAGCATATAAGAATGTCTAGGATGTGTGTGAATGAAAGCACAGCATGCAAGAATTCTCTGGCAGTGTAAATGAACAAAATTGTACAGGGATAGTTTAATTATCAGAACATGTTTTCAGAAATGTTTGTGATATCTCTGTCAACAAGGTTAAGTGGTTACTCACAACATGGACAGTAAAGCAAATTTGGCTAAAATATATGAAATCCATTTTTCAAACCGCTTGTACTATGTAGGGTTGCATGGATTCTGGAGCATATCTCAGAATCTCGAGCCATAGGAAGGAAAACAAGGGATGACACACTCATAAACTTATTCACAAGTGTGGTCAATTTACAGTCTCCAGTTGACCGGCCTAGCATGTCTTTGTATTGTGGGGGATTTTATTTTGTTTAATATATTCCTGTAGTTCAGATGAATGAAGCTGCTATGCAAATACAGTCAAACAATCGAGCGACATAGGCCTAGGGTTCAGTATGTGTCTAACACTGCATCTTGTATGGCCCTGATACTTAAAATTTACTGGCACTCTTTCTCTCAAAGCACTGATGCATTTGGAATGCATAAAACATCAAAATGATGTTCATATGTGCATTTTTTCTGCTCACAACAGATCTAAGCATGGAGTAAGGGGATGATTTTGCATGTTACAGTATATATGGGGGCCCCAACACAAAGTTAAGCTTAGGGCTCCCAAAAGGCCAGGACCGGTGTCGATTTGTGCTACCCTGTCAGATTTTGCTACCTCCCATTAAAACAGTATGTAGTACAATGCGACAACAAAAAATGCTACCTGTCAAATTATGGTTTATTAACGACTACACCTACCACAACCATAAACAGTAATGCAAATACAGTAATTATGTGTTATTCGCGGTTGTGGCTAGAAGGGATACAGCTATGGCCGGAAACAAACAATAAATAATCTTTTCTACCTATTAGATTGTTTTATTAACGTCTACACCTACCCCTTACAGTAATACAAATACATTAAATATTGTTGTTCAGCTTGAGAAAAAGAATGCAATATTGATGTGTGCATGCCCAGTAAGCCCTGGTAAGGCAAGGCAAGGCAAGGCAAGGTTATTTATATAGCACATTTCATACACAATGGTAATTCAAAGTGCTTTACATAGAAGGAAGTAAAATAATCATTAAAAAAACAACAATAAAACAAGGAATTTAAAAACTTTTAAAATGATTAAAAATTTGATTTAAAATGAATTTAAAACAGTTAAAGATAGAAAATGAGTATATATAAAATACAGTGCAATCAGTTCTGGTAGGACGATCTGATGGGTGGGATAAAATGTCAGGACACCGGCACTGATTTACTATGCACCTGCAGTAAATTTAAAATGTATGATGGGAATTTCCACAGTTGGCTTATGCCATGCTGCCGAGGTTTTGCAGATAACTTGTTGTGGGAAAACCATTGAATTGATCAGAGCAGATTTGACCTTCTTTTGATGTGTCTGGCTTCAGGTATGATTGATACTTCACTGGAGAGACTCCAAGCAAGCGAGCGTGAAACTGCAGACATTTACCTTATAAATAATAATAATCTCAGGGTTCACACTTTCAAGTAGATAAATCAACATCAATAAGTTAAGACCAGTTTATCAAATGTTACTATAAACATTCAGAATGTCAATGTAAATGCGTCTACAAGAGCTCTCTTCATCAAAACAGGACTAACAGAAACCTTTCTCTCTTTTTTGTTAGGGTCAGTTTATGCCAAACTCTGGAGTCATAGAACTAAGGATCAATCCCTCTTCTAGCTGCTCCTCTGTCACTGTTGAAAGCAAAAGTTCATCAGTCTCAGTTGAAATTGAGTGAATCTCACAGACATAATGCCTGACACATTTCCTCCATTGCATCTATTTTTGCTCATTTAGCTCATATCATTATTGTCTGTAAACTCGGTTGTTTCAGCATGTGTGCTAGTAACTGTTTTTTAAAGGTTCGTTTATTCTTTGTCATACAGTTCAAGATTTAAAAGGTTTCCATTTATGTTCCTAAAAATTTTTTTTTAATTCTTCTTTATTCCATTTAACAATAATGCACTTTTCATGTCCAATATTACTCTTCCAAACCTATTCTCAAATCAGTTGACTGGCCACATTTTTTTGTTCATAATGATTACAACAGGCTTGTTTGTTCATGAAGCTGGCACATCATTATCAAAAGAAAACTGTTTACCAATTACAAGCACATCCTCCACATTGAGGTCTACATGAGGTACAGATCTTACCGTGAGAGAGGTATATGTTTCCAAGAATTCAAGAAAAGAGAACAAAATACAAAGAAGCCTGGATCACTCCTTTTACCCAATAACACATGCGTCATGCAATGCGAGACAGACAGAGTGCATCTGCAGATTCAGTTTCAATGTCTTTTGAGCAGACCAGCTGCCAGTACGCAAGAAGCATTCCTCTTTCTGCCAAGCGATCTCTTACAAGCATGGCACACATTATAAGACATGCTGAGAAGGTGTGAAAAAATTACACTTTTAAAGGTTCCAAAAGGGGTTTTCACAGCGATACCATAGAAAAACCCGTTCTGGTTCCCTAAAGAACTTTTCAGTGAACAGTTCTTAAAAGAACCATTTTTTCTTAGTGTGAAGAACATTTTAATAATCTAAAGAACCTTTTTCCACTGTAAAGAACCTTTTGTGGAATGGAAAGGTTCCATGGATGGTAAAGGTTCTTTGTGGAACCATTGATGCCAATAAAGAACCTTTATTTTAAGAGTGTACGTAACATTTACTTAAAGCCTTTATATATAATGCTTTATAAAAGTAGATTTAATGCATGAATTATGCCCTGTAATGCACCTTATAATGCATGGTATGATCTCATGAATATTTGTAACCACAGTTTTAATACATTATAACACTTATCTCATTCATTGCTACACCTTTAGAAAGTATAATGCATTAAAACACACGACAAACAAACTTAATATTGCAATGCATTTTAACTTTGGTTATAATTATTTATAAAAAAGATATAATGCATTACAGCACACATTATAAATACCTTTATAATGCATTATATGTAAAGGCTTTAAGTAAAGTGTTACTAAAAATCACTGCAAAGAGATTCAGCCAATACAACCAGTTTAACAATTACTTGTTACAAAGTGTTACAAATACAGTGTTGCTAAAATGTATCCAGACATTACATTTAGGAACTACATTTATTTATTATTATTAGGTACTTACAAAAGTAGGGAATACCAACCAATGAAGAGAAACAAATATGAATGCCAGAATGTCAGAATCTATTGTATGTAATACATTTTAAAAAGATGCTTAATAATAATAATTTAATAATAAAATAATTGTATACTGTATGAACTGTTTATTAATATGTAATGTCATTTTTGTTCCCCCAATTCCCCTACCTCTGGCTTCACAGAGCAGTGGCCAGTCTAGTTCATGAACTAGAATTGGGGTGCCCACTCTGACAAAGTTAGGTGACCCAAATGGTGAAATCACATGACGTGTAAATGGGCGTAAATGATGGGTAAACCTGATTGCACAAATTAGCATTCTGAATGCCACCCTGGGCAGCTGCCTAGATGCCTAAATCCAGCATTGCACACACATGCACATACTGTTAGGTCTGATATCCACATCCTTTCACTTGCTCATATGGACACATGATAGGTCATCTAGAAAAACTGATTATAGCCGGGCTCGCTCACATCATAACACAAGAACATGACACATGCATTATCATTAGCAGCTTGTAAAGCTTGCTAATCTCTCTCTGTGAACACAAAACATATGGAGCGAATTTTGTGCCAATATTCATCAAACAAATCCAGCGTTTTGCAAATAAACACAATTTGCTTTGCAAAGAAAAACTCGACTTGGCAAATACAAAACTGTATTTGAGAGAAAATGCAGAGGTATGGACAAATATATGTATCGTGTGTTACAACTGTGAGACTCATTTGCCTTTTTATGAGTAAACTTGGCTTGTTTTTTTCTCAAATGCGTGCAGGCAGATTTTCTCACATGCGTCAAGGCAGATTTTCTCACAAATGCAATTGAGCAACTTTCTTTTCCAAAAACAGCAGATGGCGCTGTCGGTCAATTTACACAAGTCTGCCGAGACCCGAAACAGCTGGGGCCTCATTTATAAAATGTTGTGTATAAACCGTCCTAAATTTGTTCTAAGATCATTTCTCAAAAGTGCGTAAGTGCGATTCAGAGAAAATGAACGTGCGCACAAAAACACGTGCGTACGCCTCTCTTCCAGATGTGACATTTATAAATCACAAATGATCTTGAAATTGTGCGCAGCTGGCTGGTGTCAGATCTCCGCCCTAATTAATATCATTACCATATAAAAGAGCACACACCAATATCCGAATTGCTATGCTTGAGAATGACGAGCACAAAGAAAGAAGAAGAAGAAAAAAAAAACTTTACTGAGTCTGAAATTGAGGTCCTGCTGGCGGAGGGAGAGGTTCGTGCGGGACGCTTTTTATTTAATATTTATTATATACCTGGGGTTATGTTTGTTTTCTTCTAAAAGAGACGAAAAGTAATCAGATCTAGCAGTTTTAATGCTTTTCTTTAGGATAGGGTACTTTCCCGCCAAGCAATACGAAATACCTCTAGTTTTGTTTTCCTCCAGCAGAGGATAAGAGGTACGGAGAATGGATCAGTTTTTATAGGGAAAGACTGCCTAGTTAAATGTTTAGCCATGTCACTACTGATTTTTTAACTAATCAATCATGTTAACAACTTTACAGCACTTATTGTGAATTTAACTGACACTGTAGTAGGGTCGCTTTGTTAAAACATCTAAATGGTTAATTATAGATATAGTAAGACAAAAACTCACCTGTTCCCCACTCATGTTGGTCTGCTGTATTCTCTGAAAAGGTAAACAAGGGTTTCAGGTCTCGGGAGACTAGCGTAAATTGACCAACACCGCCATCTGCTGTTTTTGGAAAAGAAAGTTGCTCAATTGCATTTGTGAGAAAATCTGCCTTGACGCATGTGAGAAAATCTGCCTGCACGCATTTGTGAGAAAATCAAGCCAAGTTTCCTCATAAAAAGGCAAATGAGTCTCACAGTTGTAACACACAATACATATATTTGTCCAAACCTCTGCATTTTCTCTCAAATAGAGTTTTGTATTTGCAAATCACTTTGTGTTTGTTTGAAAGTTGAGTTTTTCTTTGCAAAGCAGATTGTGTTTATTACAAAACGCTGGATTTGTTTGATGAATATTGGCACAAAATTCACTCCATAAGAACACATCACCTATGATTCACACCACGCACATTACTGCCAGCAGAAAATGAAAAGCTGCTTTCTGCTCATTTTTAATAAAAAAAAGAGGTGGAATGAAACGTATTTATGATATTTTTTCTGAAAGGAATTTGGTTGGCACTTAGAATTACAAAAAAAATCAAAACCTTTTGTTCTCACAAGGATTTAAGTGAGACAAGGATAAAAAAAAACAAGGATTTAAGTGAGAGAAACAAGGATTTAAGTGAGATTTAAGAGAGGAAATAGGTTCTTCTCAGAGGGGTGAAAAAAAGGAATATGAATAGTTCATTACATTCAGTATATGAGTAAGATCTGTGCAGCTCCTTACCTCCACCAGATGTGGTGTGGGATTGAAACCACAAAGATTGCACACCTCTGTATGACATTGGGTGCATGACCTGTAGTTTGGTGGATCTGTTGTTCCAACATTGAAAGCAGTCTTGCATAGTGGGCAGGTAACGTCTGGTTTCTGACTAACTGGCTGAGGTGGAGGCTGCTTTAGCGGTGACTGCTGCTGCTGCGGTGTTGTTTGATGGTGTGTCGGCGACTGCTGTTGTTTCAGCCCTTTTTGATGATGCACTGGTGACTGCTGCTGCAGAGGCTGTTTTTGGAGATGGGCTCCAGGACCTTTGGGGAATGTCACTCCGCCTGGGCCTGTTTTGGCAGTGCCGGGTGGCCCTGCATTAGTTTTAGCACTAGCTCCAGCATTAGCATCACTAAAAATCACCTTTGTCCCCTGGGCACTCTGGTTACGGGCAGGCGAGGGGTGCGGTGAGGATCCAGGAAGAGGATCAACAGAAATAAGGGTGCTTGCCTGATTTAGAAGAGATGCCCCAAAACCAAACAGCTTAGTTAAACCATCTTGAGGAGCCTCGTGGGATGTTGGGTGATGAGCCGGGGAGCTTCCAGCACTTCGGGTCTTATCGGGTTGACCTCCAAACCGTACTGGAGTGCTGCGCCCCAGATCAGACTGTGATTGTGCCTTTGCTAAGCCAGGTAAAGGCACTGCCCCTGGATGAGGAATCCGGCCTGTTTGGGCCACCCTTTCTGGACTTTTTGGTCCCAATACCTCGCCTCGTTGTCTCTGGGTATTCTTGGGCCCTGACTGGGAACCTGATTGTGTATTTCCTGCTTGTGGTTGTTCTTTTTGTGTCTGGAGACTAGTTTGTGGCCCACTGTGAAGTCCAGTCTGGTTAGGTCCAGTAGGACCCATCTGTTTCTGGAAAGCTTGGGTTTGAGTCTGAGGCTGAGGCTGAATTTTCATCGGTGTCTGGTTTTGGGTTTGTAGCTGCGGCGTGGGATGAGCTGAGGGTTGGGTCTTGGGTATGGGGTCAGCCTTAGGTTGATGAGAAGGAGAATGTATCTGCTGCTGACTCTTAGAACGTGGTGTTGTCATGTCTATTCCCAAAGCCCGCTGCATCTGGCAGTTTAAACAGAGCCACTCGTTGACCTGTTGAAGAAACACATATTAGCGCATTACTCAGCAACAGATATACACTCAATATAAAAGCTTGGTATCACTTTTTATTTCCAAATTTGGTTTTTGAAAAATAAAATTGACCAAGGACACATTAAATGTCTAAGAATTACAGTGAATACACAATATTAAAATTTACTATTTTGATTTCAAATAAATACTGCATTTTTCACTACCTTCTCACTGTGCAGACCTTTTGCATTATAGCAGTGAATTTAGTAGGATATTCAGGTGAAGTTTCATCTCATGCTTCCTGCAGCATCTCCCACAGGTACGATTGACTTGCGGGGCACTTCTTACAGACTTATGTATGATGATCAAACAGCTCAACACCTCAAACTCAGATTTATCCATCTATATCATTCACCATCTAATATTTAAAGGTTTAGTTCACCCAAAAATGAAAATTAGCCTGTGTTTTACTCACCCTCGAGGCATCCTAGGTGTACGAATCCAATCTGAGTTATATTAAAAATTGTCCTGGCACTTCTAAGCTCTATCATTGCAGTTGGCGGGTGTTTTTGTTCAACAGTCCAAGAGACGTTAAATAAAGTGTGCGCATCCATAATAAAAACGTGCCTCACACGGCTCCGAGAGGTGAATAAAGTCCTCCTGTAGTGAATCTATGCATTTTTGTAAGAAAAATATCCATATTTCAAACTTAATAAACACTTTTCTCTCACTTCCAGTATCTGTCGTACGCGGACGCCGTTCCGGCGGATGACGTAGGACGTCGACATTGCGTGATTAGTGACGAACACGGAGAGAGAACAAAACAAAACGCCGGTCACGAATTAGAAGTACAAACCGAGGATTTGTAAAGAAAAATGTTGGAGTTTGATATAAGCCAAGAGGGGACTGATTTTCCTTTGCTAAATTAAGGAAACTTCCTTTGCACCTCTAATCAAACTCGCGAGACTAGAATATCTCAGAGGTGCACGCGATGCATACGTCCTACATCATTCGCCGGAACGGCTTCCATGTACGATACCGGAAGTGAGAGAAAACTGTTTATTACGTTTGAAATCTGGATATTGTTCTTACAAAAACGCATGGATTCGATACAGGAGGCTTTTATTCATGCCCCGGAGCTGTGTGAGGCACGTTTTATTATGGATGCGCGCGCTTTATTTAACGTCTCTTGGACTGTTGAACAAAAACACTTGCCGACTGCAATGATAGAGCATAGAAGTGCCAGGACAATTTTTAATATAACTCCGATTGGATTCGTCTGAAATAAGAAAGTCATATACACCTAGGATGCCTCGAAGGTGAGTAAAACACAGGCTAATTTTTATTTTTGGGTGAACTAACCCTTTAAGTTCTTTTGCATATTGTATTTATTTTAGTGTCAATGACAATGATTTGAATGAAAAACATAATAAAGGAGGATGCCACAGAAAACACACATGCTAAACTAAAAGAGTATTAGAAGATAATCTTCATAAACTAAAACATATTCAATAAGAATAAACAAGTATTTACTAAGAATCCCATTTATTCAAAATTCTTACCCCTGCAAGGTGTGGGTTGGGGTTGAAGCCGCACTGGTTGCACACTGTAGTGTGGCACTGTGTACACTTGTTGAAGTTTGGTGACCCATCAAAATTTGTCAACTCTGTAGTATTGCAAACTGGACAGAGCTTACTGCTTGGCATCGGTGCAATCTGGGGTACTGAGTATGGTGAAGTTGGTGCACTAGCTCTATCGGGAGACACTGACGGTGAGCGGCCTGTTCGACCACTACTGCTGCTGAAGTCCACCTGGAGGTTGCGTCTGGAGGCATGTTGTCCAGGGCTTTGGTTGGGTCCCATGCCCCCTGATGAAGCTTGAATTTGAGATTGATGTGTAGAAGAAGTCTGGGAATGTCTAGGTCCATCATGAACTGGCTTTTTGTAAGGGTTTCCACTTGCTTTAATGCCGCCCATGCCAAAGTCACCACCTGGCCCTCGATCACTACCGGTTCCATAGCCTAGTTTTGGGCTTGATGGTGGGCCTCCCCCTCCAGCCAGCCTGAATAAAGCAAAAAGAGCAGGAGAGAATGAGAACGTCTGATTATTCTTTGTCACAACCTTTACCTTTTTAACTAGCCTGCTCTTAACACGAAACTCATTTAAGTATCGTTTGGAGTGGGCCATGTCATTAAAAAGCTCAGTTCAGTTATCAATATACATTACACTTACACTGAGTCATTCAACAGACAGTTTTATCCAATCCAGTGCACAAATAAAGGACACCACAAGTAATTTATCATAGCGTTTATCATAGAGGTACCGACAATATTCACAGTACCACAATACCAAGTTTCAGGAAAAAGGCAGTTTTTCAAAAGCTAGAGCAGAACATAACTTCAGGATGATTTTGAAGAGTTTAAACAGTTTTGGCCAGCGTATTTGATCATTTAATTAGCAATTAAAGGGGTCATATGACGATGCTAAAAATAGCATTATTTGGTGTATTTGGTGTAATGCAATGAGTTTACGTGGTTTAAGGTTAACCCTTTAGGCGCCAGGGATTTTTGGGAAAAATGCTGGATTTTGACATCAAGATTTCAAAAGCTTGGCTTAAAGATAGAGATCTACTGTAAATTAGAAAAATGTTGGGCATGACCGAAAGTTTATGTGGGGTGTAAATATACTCGTCTAATTTGCATATTATGACGTCATCAGAGGCGGCCATCTTGAATTTCATAATATTCAGGAAATAGTAGATATTGAATTGATGTTTGAATTTATTTGCATGTTTTTTGTTTTTTTTTAATCTTTTTATCCTCATTCCAAATGATCAGAAAAGAGGAAACCAACAATAAAACAGGAGAAAGTACTAAATTATTACTATA